CCCTGTGACAGCTGAGGGTGTCAGCAGCAGTGTCGGTGTCCCTGTGACAGCTGAGGGTGTCAGCAGCACTGTCGGTGTCCCTGTGACAGCTGAGGGTGTCAGCAGCAGTGTCGGTGTCCCCTGTGCTGACCCTGCTGTCCCCCCAGCCGTGCAGGTGACCCCTCCCCGCGAGCCGGCAGCCAAGAGGGTGCTGTCGCTGGGGCCGTCCCCGCCGAGCCAGGGCCAGTGCGTGCTGAGCTACAGCCCGTCCCGCTCGCCTGGCACCAGCCCCAAGTTCCCCTCGGGCTGTGCCAGCGCCTTCGCCCCCCAGCTCCAGGCCCTGCCCGGCCCTGCCCTCGGCGCCTCCGGCACCTGCTCCCCCGGCAGCACCTACGGCAAGGTGAGACCCCCGCACCGTCCCCCTGCTGAGCCTGGGGAGGCGGAACCGGAGCCACAGGGAGTGCTTCTGTTCTCCCCCCCAGGTTTCCAGCTTCAGCCACTCCCCCAACGGGTCCCCCCATTCCACGGGAGCGCTGGACAGCGGGGGGATCCGGTCCCACTACCGCTTCTCCCCCATCCTCTACAACAACTCCACCCACAAGGACGACTACATCACTGACGTCAAGTCCCTGGACACCTTCCTGAGGAACGAGGAGGAGAAGCAGCACAGAGTGCAGCTGGGTAAATGCCCGGGGTGTCCTGGGAACAGCTGGGAAATGGGAAGGTGTGGGTTTTTTTGGGGTTGGGTGAGGAGAGTACCGTTTCTGGGAATCTCTGGGAGCTTGGCAAGCTGCTCAGCAGCTTCATCTGCTGAGGGAAGGTGGAACACCGGGGTTTCTACACAACTCCATGGCTTTTTTTGGCAGTTTTTGTCCTGGATAGGGACAGTCAAGATAAAGATAAAGGGGATGAACTCTCCAGGCAGTTTTTACCCTAGATAGGGACTATCCACCTAAGGATAAAGGGGTGTGAACTACCCCAGGCAGTTTTTATCCTGGATAGGGACAGTCAAGATAAGGATAAAGGGGTGTGAACTACCCCAGGCAGATTTTATGCTGGACAGGGACAATCCACATAAGGATAAAAGGGTATAAATTACAACCCCAGGCAGTTTTCACCCTGGATAGGGCCAGCCCAGGTAAGGATGAGTGCAGTGTTTGTGCAGAGTGACTGCAGTGTATTCCTTCATTCTGACTTGTGCCTGTGCTGTTGCTCCAGAATTAATTGGCAATGATGTGACTTCACTGATTGAATCGTTGCAGGGAGTTCAGACTCCAGCTCCCCTTCCAGCAGCCCAACCTTCTGGAATTACAGCCGGTCCATGGCAGACCATGCCCAGATCCTGAGGAAGTTCCAGTACCAGCTGGCCTGCAGGTCCCAGGCTCCCTCAGCACACAAGGATGAGGCAGATCTGAGCTCCAAGCAGGCAGCAGAGGAGGTAAATTCCACAGCAAAAGTGCTCCCAGGGGAGAAACAGGCCTTGGAAAAGCACAGTTTTGTGCAAAGGTTTGGGTTGGAGCTGTGGCAGGAAAATGGGGAGGGGGGAAAATGCTCCGGTGTTCAACCAGCTTCCTTCCTCTGGAAGTGGCAGGAATTGCCATGGACCCTGAAAGCTGTGGGTGTTGTGTGAGGTTTTCCGGTGTTCTGAACAAACCTTTCCGCAGGTGTGGGCACGGGTGACAATGAACAGGCAGCTCCTGGATCACATGGATTCCTGGACAGCCAAGTTCAGGAATGTAAGTCCCATCTCCAGGGAGTGCCTGGGCTTCGGAGACAAGGGGAGTAGGGAATTCTCTGCCTGGAATGGGATGGGCTGCAGTGCCTGAGGCTTGGCATGGGCTGTCAAATCCCACCCCGAGTGTTGGTCACCTCCCTTTATTCCTGGAACAAACAGGACAGGGAGTGAAACCATCAAAGCAGGCCCAAAACTCCACCGAGTGGCCCCCAAAATTATCCTTGTGATTCCAAATGCCCGTTGTTGTCCAGAGAAGCTTCACTGATGGCAGAGCTGTTCTCCCAGCTCCTTTGCATTGGATTTTCTGCCCTTCCAGGGGGTGTTAAAGAATCCTTTAACTCTGGACTGGATCGTTGAATTAAAGTGTTCCCTCCTTCCTTCCCTGGCCTGGGTGTGTGCTCAGCTGTGACAGGGTGGGTGTCAGGGGGTGCACACCCCGGGCTGGCCCTTCTGACCCCAGTTTCTCCCTTTTCCTTGTGCCAGTGGATCAACGACACGATCCTGGTGCCGCTGGTGGAGGAGATGGA